GTCTTGCCCCTGACATTATTGGTTGTATGTTTCTGAGCAAGTTATTTCACCTTTTAGTTTCCTAGGCAACTGTAAATTGCATAACAGGTGCAAAATTTCCTCATCAAGAGTTCCCTATGTGGATGAAATCATGGGTCTGGTCACAATGTCCTTTCTCCCCCCCAAATAAGGAATATGTGAGCAGAAAATAATGGAAGCATATTTTAAAGTAATGTATTATAGTTGGCACTGCCTTCCTGCCATGATACTGACTTATATGCCCACCCTATAAACTGGAGAGGAGAGATCTCAGATGGTAAACTATTCATGGGAATCTGTTGGTAGATGAACTCTGAATCAGATTCAAAGCTTTTCAAGGGTGTGAGTACACATTTCTTATATATAATGTAAGTAGATAACAGATTCAAAAGTCCATTTGAAATCAGAATAGAACCGACACATTCATCAAGTGCAAGGGATATATAAGTAGATAATAGATGTGATATAAGTAATAAGTGGGGATATGTTCACTTTCTAAAAGTACTGTAAAGACTGCCATGTGGAGAGAGAGGCTTAGTCCTAAGATCCAGGAGCAATGAGTAGAAATTACAGTGGCCAGTTTTAGCTTCCTAATAAATACATTTGTTCTCATTCACTTACCAAGAATCTCCTCCATATTATGTATCCTCCACTGTTGTGAGGATAAAAAGACAAAAATGGAGTTGATCCTGCCATGAAGACACCTAATATTTGGGGACATGCTGATAAATGTTTAGCAATTGGCTCTCCAGGGGGAAAAAAAGCACACATGACACACTTTTAAGTTTAATCTACTTTATTAACATTTTCTCCATTGCTTTCTGAAGTCTAGAAATAAACAAAACAATCAATCATGTTCTGATTTATAGCATTTGCCAATTTTCCAGGATAAATGCTGACACCCCTGAAAGACTCACCACATTAACAAAAGCTCTTGGGAGGATGTTCAATAATTTTTAAGAGTGTAGAAGTGAGACCCAAAAGTCTGAGAACTGCTGCTTTAAGACTTTGAATGATAATAAACCATGGCTTCCCATGGTAATCTTTCTCACTTTGGGGGAGTACCTATTGTTGGGAAGCCTTTTTTTCTTCTTACCTAAATTTGTCTTTGTGCAACTTCCATCTTCTGCTCTCAGTTCTGCCCTCTGGGACCAAGCAAAGCAAGTCTGATCTCTCTTCCACCCTTCAAATATTTGAAGATATGAAAATATTCCACCCTACCCTCCTCTTTTCCAAAAGAAACATCTCCAGTTCCTTCAAATAGTCCTTCTGTTATATGAATGAGAGGTCCTGGTTGATTCTCCTGGCCAGTCTCTAGCTTATCAGTATCTTTCCTAAAATATATGCTCTAGATGTAGAACAACCAGGCAAGAGTACAATATGACCATCATCTCTAACTTCTTGGAAGCTATGCCTTTCTGAGTGAGGCATTTCTAGGCTGCCATATCACACTACTGAATCTTATTGAGAAGTTGTCTAAAACCCCAGATTTTTGTCCAAAAAACTGCTGTCTGGCTATGTCTCCCTAATCTCATTCTTGTGAAGCTTATTATTTGGAGACTAGATGTAAGACTACCTATTTATCTTTATTAAATTTCATTCACCAATATTGTCACCTGTCCAGATTTTCTTTGATTCCCAATTTTGTACTCCAGTGTAGCTATCAGGCTTGTGTCATCTGCCAATCCTGCCAATTCAATAAAGACATAGCCTGTGCTTTCAGCCAAGTCACTGATGAAAAAAGTTAAACAGCATAAGAATAAGTTACTCTCCTCAGATGTTTAGATAGAAGATGGGCATACTAGAAGTCACAATACAGCAGGAGACAGTATAAAGCAGGTGCGTCTTAGACCCTGTTGAAGGGGCTGAGCACTGAAATGGCTAAACTATGGCTGTCGCATTCATAACACATGAAGCCCAAGGACAGCATTATATGTAAGTTTTTAATGACCTAAAAGTATTACTTGTATAGATAAGGAAACCAAGAAAAAATTATATTTTGTAGGGTCACATATCCTATCTATGCCAGAGTCAACACTGGAGTATATTTTCTCTGCCTCTAGGGCCATGCTGTCCCTAAAGGAAAGCTTTACACTTAAAGAAACTTATTAAAGAACAGAAGAATAAGAGGAATTAAAGGATTATTTTAATCATTGTTAAAGCCTGAGGAAATAGAGTATCAGGCTTGAATATTACTCTCTGACTTGGGGATGTTTGTTGTTTGGACAAGGAAAAATTTAACAGTCATGAGGATGAAGGGCCATATTGTGTTTGTTACTAGAGTCAAAACTTTGGATGAAAGCCCTAGCAAAAGCCAGCAGCCCAGAATGACCTTAGCTCTGTTTGATGAGAAAAGGAACTTTCCTTCCAAAACCAATAACAAGCTATCATGGGAAATATGGCTCACTTTAAAAGCCAAAGGAAAAGAGATTTTACAGATTGGTTCAGTTGAGATGCAGTAGCCTTGTCTTGAGTCAGACTAATGTTGGGAAAAGATTCTGTGAGCTTTGCCGGACTCTCCCATATTCTCTCCTCCCAGTAAGAGGAAGAGAGGTGGGGATGGGGAGAGAGAGGGGGGGAAAGAAAAAAATAGAGATAGGGAGAAGGAATGAGAATATATAACTTTGACCCTTCTTGTCTTAACTTTTGGGTCCACTTTATCAGACTAACCATTTGGATCATTTCATCTCTTTTTCTAGCCCTGAAAAAAATTACAGTTTCAGAATCTGTCACTTCCTCCTCCACTTACCCTCCCCACAAATCAGCTTCACTTGTATGTGAAATACTGAGAAGAGGTCAAAGTCACTATATTCTGACATACAAAAAAAAACACCCACTACCACCCTCAGGAGAACTAGTAGAAGCTAACAAGCCTTGTTGGGGTGCCCCATTTATCTTTCCTGGTATGTCTTCTCTCACAAATCTTTGTCTCTAGGCTGTCTGGTGCTCTGGCTCCTTCCGGTACAATCTAGGGCTTGCCATTACATTCATCCTGTAGGTCAATATGGGTTCTGGGACCACAACAGTAAAGGTATACTGACCTTGCCCAGAAGAAGCGAGACCTCCTTTGTATGCCTCAACTTTAATTTTGTTTTGTCTCTCTGAGAGACATAGTGCAGTAGAAAAAGTGCTTCATTTAATGTCAGAGAACCTGAATTCCAGTCCTTTCTCTGTCACTTATTAACTGAGAAACCTTGAGCAAGACACTTAACCACTGTGGTCCTCAGTTTCCTCATCTGTAAAATGAAGACGTTGGACAAGATGACCTTTGAGGTCCTTTTCAGCTCTAAATCTGTGACCCAATGACACTGCTCATTAATCATACCTAGGGTCGGATGGTTAGATAAACCTGACTTGTCAGAATAAAGGAGAACACGCCATATTTAGGTCCTGCCACTCCAAATTGTATTGTCTCATCTTTGAGGTTTCTGAAGCCTTTCTAATGAACTCTATAACAGAGAACATTGAAACAGAAAAACATAGCTTAGGAATTTGATCTATATTCATTCAAAGGCCATTCAAAGCACTCTTAGGACTTTGGCCTCTAACTAAGCATCCTGGCTTTATTTTGCTAAAAGAAATGATTACAGCTCAAGTGAAAGTAGCATGTAGGCTCTGGGCTTACTCTTCCAACTTATACTTGCCCTGTCAGGTCTGGCCCCCAGAGCTGGCTACTACTTCCCTGCCTTAGATTTCTAGGGGTTAAGGTGTGCTTTTATAGTGCTCTAGCTCACAAGCCCTCGTCCAGTGTATTTTCCTCACTTGATAAGTTCATATCTCTTCAGCATTATCAATATCAATGATTAACTCTCCAGTTTATTCATTGATATCTCAATATCATTGACAATTTATTAAAATCAATTAGCTTTTAAAAAGGGCTATTTACTGAAAAGAAATAACAAGACTCCAAGTGTCAAAACCTTTGAAACCAAGAAAACAATCTTATCTCCTCTGGGGAGAGAAGGCTCAGACTTAAAAGTGATTGATTCAAACATTCCTTCCACTAAGGTAATTTTCATGCGCATTATAGCTGATGGAGAATTTATTCCCTTGTTTGCAAGAAACTGTGTCAGCTACCAAACTGATTCCCTGCTGGGCTGGGTCAAACAGGTTACTCCTCAGCCACCTTGGTTTCTTCAAACTCTGCTGTGTACTGCAATCATTGGACTGCTAATGGTCCTTACTACCTTTCAAAGTTCAAAACCTGGTCCGTTCTAATACCCATTCACCTAATATCAGGAAAGAAAACACACCACAGAAACAGAACAAGAGATACCATGCGTTCACAGCCATATGGAGGCCCTGATAGAGAGATAAGACCAGCCAGTGCTGCTGCCTTTCTCCTAACCCTAATATGAAAGCGGGTCTTCCTCCTCATTTGAAAGCTCTCAGGGAAAAGATGAGCTTTTGTCTCTTGTTGTCCTTTGTATGCCTATGAATTTTTCATCACCACATAGTAAATCCACAAGAGTCACAGAATACTTCTGCATGCTCAGAATTGAGAAGCACCATCCTTCTATTAGGCTCCAGAATGTATTTCCAGAAGTAGGTTGAATAGCATCCATATGAACTTGAAGCGGACAGAGAATACTGCAAATATTCCAAGTACTGGACTCCCCAAACACCCTCCCTCTTGCTCTAATATAATTCATTGCCAACATTCAGAATTCTCAAAAAGTTCACGTGTAATTTTTGTGAAGAAATAAATAAAATAGATAAAGGGTCCCCTCCCTTCTTTTGGCTGCCATCAACAAATAAGCAGTTTGACAAACATTTATCAAAACCTTACAGTGTACAGAATACTATGCCAAGAACTGGAGAAGATACAAGTCTAGGTAAAACACAGTTACTTTCTTCACAACATTTATAGTCAGCTATGAGAAAACGAGCTTTTTTTTTTCAGTTGTTTTATTTTTAATGGGCACCAGACAGCATCTCGTAGAAGTGTTCTGCAGTCATGAAGATGGGCATCAAGTGGTCACTTATGCGTCTTCGGTTATGTTCTCCAACCCCTTAGCCTCATAATAACGACCAAATCCAGAGATCCTCCTGTCCCTCTCTGATAGATTCCACTGGTATTGATTACGGACAATTCTTTTTTCCTTGCCCCCATTGCTGAACTTTTGGATGAGAGCTGTGCTAATTCCCGGGATCGTTAGACATACACCCATATCGGCCAGTCCCGGCAGGATTTCGAACCACATCGCTGCAGGAGGCTCGCGGCCACAGACTGTAAGTCACTGCTGATAACTACGCCGCGCTCGTGCGGTTAAGGTGACTCAACTTTTTTTTTTCCTTGATGAAGGGGAAGGGAGAAACAGAAGCAGGAGTAAAAATCTGTGATTCTATCAGAATGGGGGTAACTTCTGTTGTGGAAACTCCCTCCCCAAGTACTGATAATCAGCTCCTCTGTAAATTTTAGTTTTGCATTTTGCCTGGGCACACTGAGAAGTGAATTCCACATTGTTATACAGGTAGGTATTCCTCACTTTATTTGCTACATCACACTATCTCTCAAAATATATGACTATAATTCATGAAAAATGTATTGGGGAAATGAAAAAACAAAGGGCTATGTGTTCTCTGTGAGTGAACAGGGTATTATTAACAGGGGATCTGGGAAGGATCCATGGAAAAGACAGCATGTTGGTGATGGCTAGTTGAGTCTAACAAGGCAGGTAGGGATTCCACGGTTAAAGGGGGGAGAAGGAAAGACATTCTAGGAACAAAACTGGAATTGGGGCAGGAAAATACAGTGAATTTTAGAGAAACAGATTTTAAGCCTGGGGTGGATAAAGCATTATAAGTATAGAAGGTTCTAATATAAATATGTTGGAATGGTAGAGGGGTGTCTTGGATGCTACACAAAGAACTTTGAGCTTTACTCAGGAAGTAATAGAAGTCGCTGAAGATTTTTGAGCAGACATATAACTTGGCTATATATATACATATGTATGTATATATATATGTATATATGTATATATATATACATATATATACGTATATATATATATATATATATATATATATATATATATATATATATATATATATATATATATATATATATATGGAAGATTAGTAAGTGCTATGAAGGAGAATTATAAAGAGGAGACAAAGGAGAAGACTTTGTATCTTCTTCAGTTGGAAAGCTGTTTCAATTGTCCAGAAAAATGAGGGATTATACTAAGGGAGTCATAGTAGAGAGAAATGTATGTAACAAATGTTTCAGTGGTGGAATTTACTGTGTTTGCTAATAGGTGAAGTGAGGGAGAGGATCCTGTGGGATCCTGTGAATGGTGGTTCCCCTAAAAATAATTCAGAAGTTGGAGTAGGTTTATGAGAAAAGACAATTGCTATGGTTTTTGACATGTTGAGATTGAGATGCCAGTAGGACATTCAGATGGAATTGCCTTTGAGGGTTGTTAGAGAAGTGGGCCTCAGGAGAGGAGACAGAGTTTGGGGAGTCGTTTGCTTGGAAGTGTTAACAAAAATGGATGGTCAGGTTTTAGAGTATTGAAAGAGAAGAGAGCCACACACAGAACCTTAGGGAACACTAACATTAAAGGGTTGAAAAGAGAAGGAAGAGCCAGTAAATAAGATGAAATATTAGACAGTTGGGAGAACTGGAAGAAAGGTTTATTTTTGAAGCTGAGGGAGGATAGAGTATCCAAAGAGGTGGGGGTGGGGTGGTCAAAAGACCAATGCTGCAAAGAAACCAGGCAGGATGAAAACTTTAAGAGGGTCAGTGGATTAAGAAATCAAGTCACAGGTAACTTATGAGAAAGTGAATTCAGTGGTGTCTTCAACAGAAATCACATTGAAAGGGTTAAAGAGAGTGTGTGGGAATGAAGTTTAAACAATAAATATAAACTTTCTTTCTTAAAAAAATTTAGAGATAAGGAGGAGAGAAATAATGATATGATAGCTAGAAGTGGTAAAGGGTGTCAAGAATAGAGAGACTTGAGCATGTTTGCAGACAGAAAGGAGCCAGGAAAGAAAAGATTAGGAGAGGAAATATGTGAGGAGCTGGGAAGTCAGGAGGCAGGTGGGAGAGTCACCTTGGATCCTGGGGTACTGCCTCCTGGCAGCAGCCATGGTTCCCTTCTGTCCTGGTGGCCCAGTTCAGATAGCAATAGAGAGGAAGAGAAGGAAGAGGAAGAGGAAAAGCCGGAAGAAGAAGCTACTGTGCTGAGTTTGCTCTGAGAGAGGCAGGAGGCCTATTATTTGCTCATTTATACTGTGAAGAACCTGCTGCAGCAGAAGTCCCTGCACCAGGCATTTGGAAAGAGTAAGATTCAGTCATCATGCGACTACTCCTTTTTCTCCTCTTCTGCATCATCCTCTTCCTCCTCCCTCTATCCTAATGTCTCTATTTTTCCAGCACGAATGTAGAGAGCTTGCAGTCCTTCACCAAACTCCTGAAGAGGTGGCCCATTGATAGTGGATCAATTACTTTGTGTAGCTGACTACTCCACTATCATGGAACCACCTGGAAGGGCTCTTGACAGCCCCTTGGCCAGGGGACTTGGGCTTCTCTGAATCCTTATGCAGGGGCAAAGATACCCAGGAGGGGCTCTTCAGGATTTGGAAGCCGATGGCTGGACATCTGTGTGGTTCAAAGCCTTGCAAAGATCGTGGTGACCATTTTTTAATCTACTGTTGATAATTTGGGAGAGTCGAATTCTGTTAATTTGGGTACTTGGCAAAATTTCACCTGGAAACGACTTGTCCAAAACAGATTCTTCTGAATATAGAAATATTTAACTGAAATGACTCAGGTAGATTCTATGTGTTCTACAGAGTGTCTATTGCCATGTAAACAGCAGTCTAGACAAAAGTCTCAAGATGGCTGACTGGTGGAGGAGTTAAAGTCAAGTATAGGTCCTAGAATACTAATTGCTACAAGTAAGTCTGAATTAAGTGTAGCCAAATTATCTCTTCCAGGTCCTAACCCTGTAGAGAAAAACTGACTCAATCAATTGGTCTTTTCTAGATAAAATCAAGCTTAAAAACCACGAAAAAGTTGGCACAACTTAGCAGAAAGCTAAATGTCAGAGGCACCTCTGGTCATATAAACAGTTCACATACAATCTCTTATTTGAAAGGAAAGGGAATGTTTCCAAATAGTAATAACTAAAGTAAAACAGACATCAATGCCTTTAGACATTACAACTCTTCTGATCAACTCAAATGTTCACGATATATCTGGAACCCTGAGTGTGCATTCCTGTGGAGCTAAGGATTTAAAATAGCTGTTAATGGAGTCAAAAGATATCTTTTGTACGATTGAAATAGCTTCCATTAACAAACTAACAGTATTACTTACAAATGGGCTACCCTTTACCTGCATGGACCACACCTTCTATAGAAATTGAAAATCTAGAGCACTTTTATGTCTTCAGTCAGAATCAACTGCAAGGAAAAATTGTGTTGTCATGGAATAGTTATTGTCTCACTTTAATTAGATTGATAAAGTTACATAAACAAACTCTCTGACTGGAGCCCAGAGGAATTATTTATGTGAAAGTGTCTTTTTGGAAACAGTGGAAGAATTCTCCTAAATCCTGATTGAGAACCAAGAAACTATTTGGGGTACATATTCAAAAGATTATGGAGAAGGAAAATGTAAGATTGATGGTGCTCCTATTGGTGAATAAATGTATTATGAAAATTGAAAAGAGAGGCTTGGGGGAAGTAGGCCTAAACCAATTATGTGGTTCAGCAGCAGTCAGGATTGGAGCTTCAAGAAGCATTTGATAGGGATAGCAAAACTGCAGTATCTAGCTATAAATGTAACAAGACGTGTCTTTAAAGATTAAGTAAGAGAACTTCCATTTCTTTTGACACTGAACAAACTTCATGAGTCAGTGTTAGAGGTCATTGCTATAATGTCTGTGAATATGACTGGTGATGTGTTGTCAGGATGAAGAAGAAGACTCCAGGAATATGTTGCAACTTCTGGATTGTTTCACACATATTGAAAAGGCATCCTGGAAGATGCTTCTGGATCATCTCAGATTGATAGCTTATCATGAAGCTAAGATGAACTGCTGTAATTTAATGGTTTGTTTCTTCCCTGCATTGAGACAAAGGCAAGAGGCTTTGCCCCATAAAAACACAAGCTTCACAGAGTAGAAAGAACTTGAGACTGCCCTACACTTAAAAAAACACATAGAGATTCTTCATTACTTACTCCAGTTATGAACCGTGACAGGTTTCAATGCTATGGAATCAATAATTTGTTCCCTGAGACAAAATCTCTGAATTGTTTTCTGCAGCAACCTCATATATTAAATTTGAGTGGCCTGAGGGGTCAGGAGGGCATAACCCAAGCAAAGTCAGATTACATAGCCTCCTGAGAAATCCCCATACTGAGAATGACTTTATTAAGCATTTTCTCCTGATAAAATGGTTGAATAGCAAAAGTCCATCTACAAAGAATGTAAATTTCAAATGTACTTGACAATGCTGACAAGAGATTCTCCAGTGTAAGGAACAGTCAATCTCAGAAATTTATAAGAAAGTGTTAGTGTTTTAATTGGAAACCTAGAGCATGAGCTAACATAAAAACAAACAAGTTTGATATAAGCATTTGAAAAAAGGTTTTTTGTGTAATATCCTTATCCTTTCTTTTATCTCCTGATACCCTTTTTTTATTTGCAATGCAAATGTTTCTACAGATGTTATATTTTAAAACATTAACAGATTCCCATATTAACATTTTTACTATTTAAATGTACAAACATGAAATATTTTTCTAAACCAAAAGTTTGTGTATATTTATATGAGTACACATATGTATAGTTACTTGGAAGGGGGCATCAAATAGTTGTGTCATAAGACATATATGTCATGAGGCCAAAATTGGAATTTACTACAAAATATTCCCCTTCTCAGGAGATTTATAAAGAATAGGGTGAAAGAGTAATTTGTGTAGGAACCTATGCCTGAAAGGACACAGAATGATAATTTTTGCTTGTAACTTACCCAAATAGGTATTTCTTTCCCAGTCTCTGATTCAGAGATCAGTCATGACACTATAAAAACATATTCTGACTGAGTTGTAAATAACTGACATTTGCAATTTCTTGGCTATTTAAAGAATTTTTTGGCTCTTCAGATTTTGATATTGGGTCTTATTTTCTTAATTTCTTTCATCTTGCCAAAAATTCAAGAACTGGCCACAATTAACTCTAAGGGC